TTCTGTCACAAAGATGCTCAGTGAACAGTCTAGAGATTAAAGTCTTTATCTATATTCTGAGTAAGTTTTTTTATTTATAATCTCAGGCATGGAATTACTAAGGTCAGGAAATAAAACTGTTGAACAGACAAATTTTTTAAACTATTTATTTTTATTTCATGTGCATTGGTATTTTTGTCTGCATGTATGTCTGTGTGAGGCTGTAGGATCCCCTGGAACTGGAGTTACAGATAGTTGTGAGCTGCCCTGTGGGTGCTGGGGATTGAATCCCGGTCCTCTGGAAAAGCAGCCTGTGCTCTTAACCACTGAGCCATCTCTCCAGCCACAAGTAGAAAGTACTAAGGAATACTATGGACTACACTACTAAAGGTTTTAGTTAATACTGAGGCCACTTAACACTTCTTGATTCAGTCACTGTACTAGACACACGAAATGGTACCCAGATTACCCACTGTGATGCCAGGGATCACCTTAGCCACAGAGAGCCACTTCATGACCAAGCACGGCCTGTTCTTTCCCAGGATGACCTACACCCAATTACTCACTGACACAGAAGCACACAGGCTAGGCCAGTGCAGCCACAGAGCAGCAACGCAGCCAGTGCCACTCTCTGTGGGCAGGGAGCGGAGGCTGCTGTACCTGCAGAACCACTCAGCCTCTCCTGCTCAAAGCCATGCCCTTTGTCTTCCTTCCCCGGGAGTTAACCTCAAAGGCACTTCTTGCAAAATCCTTAAACACTGAGTTTCATTTCAGAATATGCCTCCCAGGTAACCTAGTCTATGACATCTGGTACCAGGACTGGTCTGGAAAAGCAGGTGAGAAGATGGGTCCTCTGACCTATGTCAGCCTTTGATGGCCATAAGGATCCTGTCACCGGTAATAAATAATCCACAGCACAAGGTGGCAGTCCAACTGTTAAAATGCTCTCCTGAGGTGACCTGCTCAGTATATCAGGACAAGAGAATGTTAACTGGAATGTTACTTAAGAGTTTCTGAGAAATCACACTCAAAGGATAATAGGAAAAAACACAAGACTTGAGGGCAAGTAACTGTCAACATGAGGGCCAAAGACAAAGAGACTTTCAGATCCTGTGGTTCCTTAGGAGAAGACCCTGATGACAAGAACAGGGTGCTTAGCCAGCAGTGAGCATCCAAGATTCCCACACAGGCAAATCTGCTACCCCTGAGTCTTAGTAGAGTGAATGGGCTCTTACTGCATGGGGAGGCTTGATCTCCCCAAATCTTGACTCTCAGAGTCAACACCATTTTATGACCTCACAAGAGCAGTCTTCTTCTTTCTCCTCATTGTCATTTGAAGACAGAGGCTTTCCCTCCAGGAGACAGTATGCACCCCTCTAACCCCCATCAATTCCTGAATCTCCCCCAGAACCCTCTCAGGCCTGTAAGAGCATCATATCACATCAGACACCATGCAGGGCATGCCGGGACTCAGAAAGGAAGAGAGCAACTGTATTCCAGAGGAACAGATTTAGATAGCTTGTATTAGCCAGGAAGACTGCAATTGAGTTTAATTCTGGGGGTATTTTATCAGATACTGAACCCTAATGTTAGGTAGTGATTTTTCAGACAGTTTCCTGAGATGCAGAATTTAACAGCTGGCAAGAATTCCTAGAGATGACACAAAGTGACTACTAAGATGACTTCTAGATGCCTACCCAAACCAATGGCTCATACTGAATGAGGCTGAGATGCCAGAAAAATTGCCATGGATGGCAGAAGCGGGGATTTAGGTTCAGAGAAAGACATTCTGGAATGTACAAACTACACACACACACACACACACACACACAAAACTGATGACTATGTTCTATAACAATGACAAAAAAAAATACCAAGTACCAAAGCCACATGGAATTTGCTGATGAGAAGTCTCCAAATTACTGAAAAGTTTCTTCCTGGCCCTCAGGAGGCCAGAATGGACAGAAAACAAAGCTGGTATATAACTAGGCTTACTGATAAGCAGTGAGAAGGATGATAGCACTCCAGGAAGAAGCCCGATGGGTGCAGCTGTGATTCAGGGGGCAACAACAGTGTGGACGTGAGAATGATGCAGTTATGAGAGCCAACGGAACAGCTTTCCCAGAGTCTGCCACTCAGTGCTTGCCATCAAAAGAATCAAAGGCAAACAGCTACACAACTGAAGGCCGTTAACACAATAAAGTTGCAATTGCTTGTGCAATTTCCAAACTTGAGCTAATCTTTTACCCAGAAGTCATGGGCAGAAGAGGCCTAGTTTCCAGAAGGCAAGACTTCGCAATACTTTGGCAAGAATACACGGCAGTCATACCCCAGTTCTTCAGAGGGATCTAGGATGCTTACTCAGGTAGCTCCACTGGGGGAAAGTGCAGAGACGCCTTGAGGACTTTGGCCAGAGTCTACAGTGATATCTGGAGACGCTCCCACTCCCTTCCCTTCTCAGAAGCAATATGAAGGTCAGTAATAAATGGAGCCCCAACCAGGCACTCAGAAAAGCTGGAATGAGACCATAAGTCTATCCTGTGAAGGATTTCTCAACTGAGATGTTCTGATTTCATGCTTCATAAGTGTGTCACACTATCTACAAGTCCTTGACCTATATGGCAAGAGCTCCCACAGAGCAAACAAAGATGATTTGATTCCACTCTACCCACCCATGACTGCTAACATAGTAAGTTAAGAAGCCAGAATGGTTTTGGTGCTGGGGACACAGCAAAACTAGTGGCTGCTAGCAATCTCAGCAGCACACAGGGTGGCCCCAAATGCTGGACCCCAGGTGTGTGGGGTCTGCGCTGCAGCAAAGCTTCTCCCTTACTTCATGTCTGTTCTTCCTTCTCCCTCCTACAGGCATTGGTCCCAAAAGCACTCAATACATCCCATCGAAGTCTGGGGTCCTGTAACTCCAGCTGCAACAGTTACACCCCAACTGTGAATTTCCGTTATGTTTCCTTGTAAATTGAACTTATCTTCGTTGCCCTAATTGGATAATGCTTGGTTTCACTTCTAGACAGCTTGTGAAGGGATAATATCAAAGTGATATTTTTTAAGTCTCTGTTACTTTTCTCTGGGAAGGGCTCAGAAGTACACCTCCCAACTTCCTCCAGATATATTATCCTTTTCCCCATTTTTGCTTTGAGCAGTCTCATTATATAGTGTAGGATGAACTGGAACTCAAAGCAATCCTCCTGCTTCAGTTTCCAAATTCCTAGGATTATACTGATGAGCAAGCATGCCTGACTATAGATGTTTTCTGCATTAAAAATTAGTGTTGAGCCTATTAATCCCCATTTTCTTTCCATATATCTTAAATAATTTTTTAATGATTTTATTTTATGTGCATTAGTGTTTCGCCTGTGTATATGACTGTGTAAGGGTGTCAGATCCCCCTGGAACTGGAGTTACAGACAGTTGTGAGTCACCATATGGCTACTGGGAATTGAACTCAGATCCTCTGGAAGAGCAGCCAGTGCTCTTAACCACTGAGCCATCTTTCCAGCCCTGTAATCCCCCATTTTAATATTAAAAATGTAAGGTTTTTTTAAATCTGATCCTGCACTGAAAAAGATCATTGCAACTTGGTTCCTATGCCAGTTTCTCCAGAAAGCTTTCCATTGTTCCCACACAGTCTTCCTCTATGCATCAACATTTAAGAGCTTACAACTTGTGCAATAAGTTCCCTGGAAATATAATGAACTTATCTTCTTTAGGTAGATTTTAATTTCACAAACTGAGGGTGAGGCAAATATGTTGCAAGTTTCATTTCCTTTCTTTAGTGACTTCATGGCACTACCTAAACAATCTCTGGATTATGCTGTTATTTAGAAAGTTGATAATCACAACCTTATGTAAGATTTTAGGATAAAACATTTAAAATTACATGTGAATATTAAGTAGAAATGAATGGTATTACATATTTTTGATCTTAAAGTTTCTCAACTATTTCTATGCATAAACATAGCTTAATGTCGAAGTAGGAAAGTAACAAACCATCAAACTTTTAAAAGTACTCCATACCAACTTGAAAGTATACTCTGCATTGAATGCCATAACGAACAATTCAATGTATTTAATACTGTGCAGGCTGATGAAAAAGTGTTTTCTTCTGTTGGTTACAACTTTAAATTACAAGAAACAAAAGGACAACTCTAGTCACATGGGATCCCAGTGATAAAGTTATTTACAAACAAATCACCAAGTACATATGTATTTTTAAACAATAATGGTTTTATGGATGCACACTAACAAAATGAATGACTGTTGGCTGGCATGAAAAATTCCTGAAGATATTAGTAAAATTATCGCAGAATCTCTTTCTCAAGGAAAAAGTCTGAAAGTCTTAGAGTTCCATAGGCTTGCAATCAAATGCTACATTATATACTACATTAGGTGAAAATACAGTAGTATATTTAATCAAATCCTGTAGATTTAAGCAGAGATGCATAAATATGATGGATGGCCTGGTTCTCCCTCCATTACAGGCTCTGGGGTTGGATAGCTCACACTCAGTCCCACCTCTTCCTTCTCCTACCACAAAAGGGTCCAATATCAGCCACAAACATGAATGAAGAGCAGATTTTACCAGCAGCCAGAAAGAAGTAGACTGCCAAAAATGTAAAAAGGGGAAAGGTTTCCTTCTTGTATTTACTGTCATTGGCCAGATCCCTACTTCCCATCAGCATGCATTTCAGAAGTGATGTGTGAGTTCAGTGTAGTACACCCGGAGACCATCGTGTATTTCCATAGCAACAAAGAATACGTCTAAAGACAAGGCTCCTTCACAGCTATAAACAGAGATAGCTTTGGAGGACAGATACATGATGCTACCTCTTAGCCAGGAAACGTTATGGGGCCGGGAGGTGGGGGAGGTAGTTTTCTTTCATTCATATCAAATCTATTTATTAAACCACACTCAATCAAACTTGGGAGATTTTAATAGTTATGCAGTTTGGTTTCAGACTTTGGAAATTCAACTCAAATACAGATAAAATAAAGATTATACATACTTGGAAGAAACTGCCTCCATGAATTCATCCAAAAACTTGTCATATTCAGAACCTCTCACTCTCCTCTGCCGCAGCCCAATGTACAACGGATCTTTAAGTAACTCCTAGTGTGAAGAAAACAGTTGCCATCAAAAGAATTAGCAATGAGAAAGTCACTGACTTTTCTTTAGCCTGTTTTGTCATCTCTATAAGAAGTAGAAACAAAAATTAAATCTCGGCAAACTGATTCATAATTAGCCCACCGTCACTACCTACTTAATGCTTCACAGAGCCCATACTGTCCATATCCAAAACAAGAAAGATAATTACTAAATGTTAAAACATTCTGGGTTAGTCTGGGGAAAAGAAAAGTAATTAAAACATGCCAGTGGTGCTTATTTAAAAAGTTCCATTCAGCTTTTATAGGTGAAATTTATCACACACAGAAATAATTGTAAGTTTTAAAGATTTACAACAGCTTTATGGATGGAAAGATAACAATTCTCTTTCTCTTCATAGATTTATTTCCATTTCCAAAAACTGAAATCTTCAAGCATTTTGAGTCCTATAACACTTGTTATAGGACTACTGACTTACTGAAGAGAGAATATTTTTAGCCTTGACTAAGTTGTTTTTAAACTGAAGGACCCGAGACAGCATTATTCTGTTCAAGTATTGTCATAAGCAATCCTTAACATTTCAAGTCAATTGTTAAACTGAGATATAATATAGATAGCATAAAACATGCCCATTAGTAGCAAAAACTCTTAGTAAATTAAGAATATCTATGAAAAACATAGCTAATTATTTTCAGATTCAGAGCAATGCAAAAGTATCTGTTGTATAATATTTTGTGTTCTGACAAATAAAGCTTGCCTGGAAATCAGGGGGTAGAGCTAGTCACTAGTTAACCACAGAGGCCAGGCAGTGGTGGCACATACCTCTAATCCTAGCACTTGGAAGAAGGAAACAGGAAGATCAGAAGTTCAAGGCCATCCTGGACTACATGAGATTGAGCCCGTCTAAAAAAGAAACAGAGCCAGGCAGTGGTGGATCACACCTTGAATCCCAGCACCTGGGAGGCTCATGACTTTGATTGAAGCATTTGAGAGGCTCAAGCTTTTGATCCCAGCACTAGGAAGGAGGAGACAGGAGTTTAAGGCAGGTGGAGACAGGATCTTGCCCCCATATGGTCTGATAATTTGTGGAGGTAAGAAGTCTCTAGTGGCTGGCTGCTCTGCCTCTCTGATCTTTCAGCTTTCACCCTAATATCTGACTCCAGGTTTTTATAGTTAAGACTAATTAGGATCATGCTTCAATCTGTCCTTATGACTTTTCTTCATCATTACACTAGAGATGCTAGCCATTACAATAAGGTAAGAAAAAGACAAGCATGCAGACTGGAAAGGGAAGAACTAGCACTCTGTATTTGTATACATATAATTATGAAAATAGAAAATAGCAGTAATCATCAAATCCAAAATGTATATTAACTTAATATAGTCATAGGATATAAGAACAATATGCAGAAATAAATGTATCTTATCATATTTGTAGTGGACAGTTGAAAAACAAATTATAACTCTATTTTACAACAGTAATCCAAACCACAAAATTCACAGAGAAATATTTATCAACAGATGTGTAAGACTTGAACACTGGAAACTATAAAGCACTGATTTTGAAAACCTCTAAATGGTGTTAAATGGTTTTCTTAGGAAAAGGAAAGGATATTTCAGAGGGCAGAATAAGAACTCACAGGAGGGCAAAAGCAAAAACCTGAAAACAGTGAGCTACAGAAACTCACTCTGAGGAGACAAAACTGGGCCCTACAAAGGGGGCTTGATGTCCAGGGGGTTTTACTGGCTGTGGACCTTCTAGAACCATAGGACTCCTATTTTCCAGCTTTTATCAGCAATGCTGGCCATTATTCTGTCCCTGACTCATCACTGTCAGTCTGGTGTGAGAACACATGAAAAGAGCCACAGTTAAGAAGCCAACCCCAAGCCTCACCTAGAACTGATCTGGATGAGAAGACCCTAACTTCAGATCCATCCCTGTTACTGAGATGAAAGCCTGATAGAGTGAGATGGAAATCCTCATATTGTGTATGCAAAATGTAAATAATTTATGAGTGAGAATTTAGATGGAGAAAAAGCACACTTGTCCTAGCCATCTAAATTTTCCTATCCATCCAGACCAAACTAAAGTTCACAGGGTCATAAGCATTAATAAAACAGTAATGATCTTAAGCCACTGGGTTTGGAAACACTTTGTTATAGACAAATACATTCTTTCAGGTGTGGTGATATTAAGATGGTTCAATTATTTGAATCTTCTGAAGTAGGGTTTACTTAAAGCCAATAGAAACCACAGCCAAGTGCACGCCTGTTATCCTGGTATAATTATTAATAGCACTCTTTCTCATTGTGAAATCCCCTTGGTTTGACCAATACATCTTACCCGCAATGTACTGCTTAACAAGTAGTTAAGGTTTTTGCTCACTGGAAGCTAACATGTTAAATGACATAAATGTAAAATAAAGAGCCTGAAACCCAGGACTGTTGTAAAGCTCAGCTGTTCCTTAAGGCATAAAAACTCTTTAAACAACCCACTGGCAGGCTTGTGGGCAGCCGAGGTTAAACTGCCAATGTACTACTAATGGCTGCCAATATTAAAATACTTTCTCCAAGTCTGGAATATATTTAGCCTCTAATATGAGATTTAGAAAAAAAAAGAGAAAGAAAAACAGTTGAGGAAAAATGCATCCCTTCGCTTTTCTCCTATTCTTTCCCACACTGATAATTGAAATACATAACATAAAGAAGTGTAATTGAGGCTGCTCCGTGGGCAAGGGCATTTTCCACTAAGCCAGATGTCCTGGGTTCAATTCCAGAACTCACAGAGTAGAAGGAAAGAGCAAACTCCCACAGTCTGTCCACTCTGTCTTATATACGCACACAGACACGTGCACACACACACACACATACACACACACACACACACACAGACACGCACACAGACACACACACAGACACGCACACAGACACGCACACAGACATGTACACACACAGAGACACACACAAATAAATGCAAAAAAAGAGAAAAATAATTATAATAGTTGATCTTAAGATGTATGAAAATGACAGTTTTTGAAATAAATTAGAATGCTATGTAATTCTTCAATTATAATAAAGTACTTGTCAGAAATAGTTTGTTCTTTTTATCATAAAAATTTAATTAAGAAAATTAAGATATACTTGAAAAAGGAGTACATTTTTAGAGATTTGAATGTCAAAAATTAATATATACAAAATGCAATTTAAAAAGGAACCAGCCAGGGGAGGAGGGGGATGTGGGAGGACAGTGGTGGGGGGACAAGTGCGAGCAAGTTACAATGTCAGACACGTATGAGGACACGGTGATGGACCCTATTACTTTGTATTCTCACCGAAACAAAACAGGAGAAAAAGGAAGGAATTGAATATTATTCTAGTTTATAGGCTGTCACAAAAGGAAGCAACAAGAATAATGTTATTGTGAAAACCTTTTTGTGACTAGCCACCCAATTAACCTCTGATTTCCACATCCACACACACACGGGCACCTACACACATATGATCCCTCCAACACACACATGGGTGGCTACACACATCTCACACACACATGCACGGGCACCTACACACATATGCTCACACACACACACATGGGCACCTACACACAGATGCTCACACACACAAAAACCAGATACACACATGCACATCACACCCATATACTCATGCAAAAAAAATAAGAATACAACAACACTACTTTTAACACTGAAGGACATATATGGAAGTAAATATTGAAAAATAAATAGCAGGCAAATTTCTCCAATATAATGTGATAAGAACAGATAATATGAAAAATCCAAGGCAACCAGTCAACTTGACAATTCTAAGACCCACTTTCATGAATCATTTGTTTCTGAGAACTTGTGCAATCTATCAATGCAAGACTCTCTATTGTAGATCCCAGGGATCAAGTTTCTCTATGTCCACATGATATGGAGAGCCTTGCAAAAAGGTCCAGGTGGAGACTGGAGGTTAAGAGCAGTCCTTTGTCTAAGAGCACTGGCTGTTCTTGCAGAGGACCTGGGTCAGTTCCCAGAACCCACATGGCTCACAACCATCTCTAACTCCAGTTCCAGGGGATCTGACACCTACTTCTAACATCATGGACGTCAGGCATGTATGTGGTGCAAACACATTCGTGCAAACAAAATATTCATACAAATGAATAAAAATAAATAAAAGCCCAGGTTTAAAACTGTTTAAATTATTATATACTTATTTCATAGTTTCCATTCCTCTTCAATAACTCCTAGAATTTTCAAGATACACCATAGATCTTGTAGGTTTTACTGACTTCCTTATACCATCTCAGCTTGTTTTAAAATATACAAAAATTAAAATGAAATCTTAATATTAATTCATACACAGAATTTTATGTTAAAACAGGTTAGCTTTAATAACTAAGTCATTTCTATTAGTACTGAAAAAGAAAATAGAAGCCACATTTTAAATCAAAATATTTCCTTGGATAAAGGTTAAATAAGCATTCATGCATAGGAGCCAAATATGATTTTACTTGTACATGATAAGAAATGTAAGAGATGTTTAAATTACTGATGGAATTCTTCTAAAATATTAATGTGGAAGTAAGAAAAGTTGAACTCCAAATCATCTACCACAGATTCAATACAGACTTTCAGAATAGTAAGGTTGCAAGCTGATTCAATTTAATAAGACTTATGGAATTATTTCCTGTACAATGTAAAGATAATAATTAGAAAGAAATTATGGTATCTTAGAGTAATTCGTGTGCTTCAAATAATAATGGCATCAATACTTATCAAAGAATTTGAGACCTCTAAGGCAAATAAACCATATAGAGATGAGGAAAGTAATTTCCTTATAAAATTGGGGGCAGAGTCTAGGGGAGTGGGGTAACCTAGAAAAAATGAGTGAATTTTATGAAGTTCATGAAATACAATACAATCTCAAAATGCAGAATTTGGCACCACTTTTTAAAACAGCTAGCTGCTTTATATACTCAACATTTACCTCATTTTCTGTTCCCACATCCAAAATGACAGGTAAACACTGCTGTGGATTCACCCCTCCACACGCTGTGTACAGGGCCAGTTTACCCACAGGGATGCCCATCCCATTACAACCAAGGTCTCCCAAGCCAAGAATACGTTCTCCATCAGTCACCACGATAGCCTAGAAGAAAGAAAAAGATGAAAAGTTCATCTTCTTTCCTGATCTCTAGTCCTGAAGGTAATGAATGCCCTGCAATGAGACACTGAGCTACAAGCAAATCTAAATCAAATATACAAAAACTGTATGTAATCATAGTCATTAGGGAAGAATGGAGAGAAGAAGCAGGTTTGATCTATATGTGTTGAGCATTATATAGTTACATGTATGATTAATTATATTACTGTAAAAAGAAGAGAAGGTGTGAGATAGAAATTCAAACAACCCAAATACTTACTCTTCAATCGAGAGGGAAGATGGGAAGTTAGAGCTCACATGCAAACCAAACACACAGGGCGCCTGTCAGGCTAGCCAGTGCCCCTCACTGCAATGACAGGGGCGTCCATAATGAGGCATTGCAGAAGTGCCAGGTAGATGGGGAAGCCATACCTCTGCTCCAAGAGGCTCTGACCTCTTACTCCCAGAAGTACCTGACACCGTACTGTTATCCCCGGAGCAGCACAGTCCAGTCTGCTACACTAATTACCTGGTGACCTTTCCTAGAACTGATGAATTCTGCTTAGCTTATTTCTACTTACTTAGATTAATGAACCATATATGTTACTCATGTGGAGGACTTACTTTACAGAATTTAATATCATTAAAATTTATGCATCCAATGCCTTCATTCTATGATTCATGGCCACAATATAAGTTAAATGTAATTTATTAGAAAATTTAAAATTCTTCACTCAAACTATCCATGGAATAGCAATGAACTTAAGCTTCTATTTCTTATTTTATTTTGAATTCACTTATTGTATGTGTTTGGGTGTTTTGCCTGCTTGTATGCCTGTGTATCAGACATGCTTGATGCCCACAGAGGGCAGAAAAGGGCACTGGGTTCCCTTGGACTGGATTTGGTGGGCGCTAGGAATCAGCCTGGGGTCAAGAAGAGCAGCCAGTGCTTATAACTGCTGAGCCTCAATCCAGCCCCTCTTTCTTAGTTTAAAAATAAACTAACACATGTGCTTTTCAGAGTGGCTCTGTTTGCTCACTACTGTAATCCCAGCATCTGATAGAACATTTAGGACTCAGTAAACAGCTAATAAATAGTAGTAATCTAGACATATCCACGGGTATATAAAGTGAAATCATGATATATAAAGAAAGAACTTACTACGGCACTTATATTTCAAATTCTAAAAAAAAAAAGTAGCTACCATTCCTATCCTCAGAAAGTCATAGTGTTTTAATGGGGGCCTAGATCATGCTCCTTCCCCTTCTCCTACTTTATAGATCATGAAATGGAAAATCAGAAAAGTAAACTACCTTGCATAGATGAGCCCCCTAGGCAGTCCCAAGGAACCAGAACCTGGATCTGCCCTCAGCACTGAGCTCTTTCTACAACACTGTAAGGTCAGATGGGCTTTAAAATGTACTGTTGAGACCTGCTGCTTTAATTTTTTTGTGTACTGTAAAATACACCTATTGGAAAATTGTGTTAAAGTAAATACATTAAAGGAGAGGTGAAATTTCTTTTGCATATTCCATACACTCCATCTTCAAAAACTTTTCCCTGTGAAATTGCAAGGAGTCACAATTTCCCCTAAATGCAATTGGTCAATATATTCATGCTCTTACAGAGAACGTAATCACACACCATTAGTTCAATGCAGTTCTAATTTACAGTAATACATATGCTATTATTGAGCACTGTAACCTTTTTAAGTTTACGGCCATTTCTCAGTGCCCAAATAATTCTGGTGTGTATTTAACAGACCTTGTTTTATTTAATGTGCTGTCATAGTGTTAGGCGGAGGGACTTGTATGCACAGCTGATGATACAAATGCTCATGAATGAAGTTCTCAACAGGGGGAACCCAGCTGGCCTGCCTATACTTAGAAGTGTTTTAGTGGGGTATTCTATAAAGATAGTAATTTTATCATATAAACTATCTATAATCCAAGTAATGCTTTCCAGGTCATTAAAAGCACTAAAACTGTATAATTTTCAACAGTTTCAATTTTTTGAAAAGGAGGTTTTAAATAGTATACACTGTCATTTACTTGATGGAACATCTATGTTAAATGAAGTATGTTTTAAATATGAAGATTTAAATGTTTTTTAAAAGCATTTTGCTGTTGTTATACTTAACTTTTATTCCCTAGGCTCCTCTCCCATCTATACCATTACCTAATTATGAAGGCATATATCTACAAAGTTATAATTATAATCATATATTGAAAATCTTTTTTAAATTTTGAGATATTTATATCTTAGGTTAGTTTATGCCTTACTGGAAATATTTCAACATTCAAGAGTCCTAACAGGGCAAAAAAAATCTGTGATCAAATATCTTGAGAAAGAGCATCTATCCTACCATGCACTTTACATTGTATCTAAGAACCGCCTCTCTTACATGTGTTCAACTCCACGGTAGAGATCATATCTTACTCTTCGGTATGCTATCCCAATCAAGCACTGACTTTTTTAGTGTCTTGTGCCAAACACTATACTAAGCTTTTAAAGGGACACAGGGCTTTGAGGGTCCATGGATAAAGGTAGACTATTAACAAAGTCAACCACAGAGATCAGCTAGTGCTGATGAAGAGCAGGAAGCAGGGCGACTATCTACAGCCTGGCTGGTACGATGACAAAGCACTGATTAGAACTCCGCTCCAGAACTATTTTGTGAACCACCTTGTTAATTCTTAAAATCCTCTCCAAATTTCTGGTCATGGTAAATATCAAGCCAGGGAAATGACTCTGCTGGTAAGCACTGGCCACAGAAGCCTGACCAGAGTTCAGATCCCATAACCAAGGTTATGGAATGAATGCACCCACACTTACATCACACACACACACACACACACACACACACACACACACACACACACGTGCGCGCGCACACACACACACACGCACACACGCACATACACATGCACGCACACACACATGCATACACACATCCACACGCACATATACACCCTCAAAAATTATTACTTTAAATTTAATTAACTCACAGCCTCTTAAGGTCATAAGGATAAAAGGATTGATTTAATAGATTTCTTATACCTACCTTGAACTTGTTAGATCATTAAACACAAAAAATACAATAAAGAAGTTTGCTTTAAAAAAATATGCCCTACATGTTCAACACATGTATATGTATATGTTTATATACATATAATGACTTTATAAAGAATAAAACACTAAGAAATTAGAAATGACAGGAAAACAGTATCTTAATAGCTTTATAATAAAATTAAATACTGCAGAAAAACCAGAGGATTAGTTGGTGATAGTCACTGATAATGATGCTCACAGCAATGAGAACGTGACTATGACATGTGTCATGGGACAGGAAAGAGAGCAAACTACCTCAGTGCAGTCACCAATAACTTACCTTGACAACATCTTCTGGCCATGCATTAAGAACTGAAGCAATATGCCCTTTGTCATGGATACTGATAAAGAGGCCTCTGGAATGAAAAAAAAAAGTTTTAATTTACTTCAAAACTGTCAAATGACCATGAACATTAGTAAAAACTTCAATCTATAACTATACCTCCATTTTTATTACATTACTGAGAAAGCATTTCCTTAAATAATGGCAGAAATCCTCTAAGTAGGAGGCTGGGGACGTAGCTCGATTGGCAGAGTTCCTGTTTGTCATGCATGAAGCCCTGGGCTTGATCTCGAACACCGCACAAAGCTGGACATGGCACTGAAGGACCAGGGCAGGGGGGTAGAAACAGATGGATCCTTGAAGCTCATTGGCTAGTCACCCTAGCCAAATCGGTGAGCTTTAGACTCAATGAAAGACTCTTCTTTAATTAAGGAAGATTGCCAAAGTGGACCTCTGGGCTGAGGAAGCACGTGCAGACGTGTGCACACGTATAAGTGTGCACACACCCAAACAAAAATATACATACAACACACTAATAAAAACACCATTTTAGTATGGAGAGATGGCTCAGTAGTTAGAGCATGTACTATTCACGCAGGGGACCCACATTCAGTTCCCAGCACCCATGTCAGGCAACTCACAACTGCCTGTAACTCCAGCTCCAAGGGGATATTGTGCCCTCTTCTGGCCTCTGAAAGCACCTGCACTCATGTGCACATTCTCAGACACAGACACATGGACAAACATATAATTAAAACAGAAAAAGAGAACTTAGAAGTTTCTGTACCACTCACAAATCCAGTTAGTCTTTAACTAAACTCAGAACATGGAAGAGTCTGGCAAAATGACAAAAGGACACAGTGCGCTCCACTCACTTCTCCCCACGACGTGAGGATGAGAAGATGCACCAGAGGCTGAAGTGACTAAGGCTGCACGCTTGTCCCTGTAGTGCTCACCTGACCATCTCTTTGCTGTTTGTACCTCTGCTCTCTCAACCCAACTGGAGCCTTAAAAACATCCACCTCACTGAACTTCCTGTGAAAGTTTAACAAGTAGCTTCAACAGCTTCACACATTAAAATACTAAAATGGGGAGATGCTTTGTTGTCATTTAAATGTTTTTGCTTTAGAATTATAATTAGAATAACTCAAAACAGAGAACCATACACAAGTACAACTTAATGACCAAGGAAAGCATCGTCCTACATACGTCTATTTACACATTGAGAATCTTGCCAGCTATCTAGAAGTCATCTGTTTTCTCACACACACACACACACACACACACACACTTTCCCCCTAAATGCAACTGTCCTCTTGGCTTTTATGGTACTGTTTACTTTTGAATTAATTTATAAAGGTTATGTGTGTGTGTGTGCGTGCGCACATGTACATACATGTGGGTGCAGATGCGTACATGGACATGCAGGTACAGGTAAACAAATATTTAGGTGTGGTGTGCGTATGGAAGCCAGAAGACAACCTCAGGCACCTTGCCTTACATACTAACCACTTTTTTTTTTTAAGACAGGCTCTCTTACCAGCCTACAAAATAGGGTAGTTTGGCTGGCCAGTGGACACGGATACCCCAGCATTACTAGGACCACAGGCACATGCCACCATGTCTGGCCTATCTGGGTACTAAGGCTCAAACTCAGGCCTTAGTGCTTACACAGCTAACATTTTACTAACAGAGTTATTTCCCCCACACCCTACAACCATTTTTTTAATCACAGAAATCATAAAACAAATTCAGACATATATTAGACTGATTTACTAAGTAACCAAAAATTATAACATGATTGGCTAAAAATATTAATTAAAATATACTATACATGTGCATGAAATTTTCAAAGAATAAAAAAGTTAAGTTTATACCAAATTATATCCTTTCCTGGTTTTCTTACTGTCTCATGTGAAGTTGCTGTGTCCCTAAATGGTAAGAAGCTCCTAATAAGCTACATGCATTTTTAGATCTGACTGACCCAATGCAATCAGCAGAAAGGGTATCAATAAAGAACTGGGAAAATAAAATGAGCTATTTGGGCCTAAGTAAGAAATTTGTATTAAATTGTATAAGATGTTCTTGGCAATATACCATTAAATTATATTTCTTTGGAGACTGTCTGCTGGCCAAGATTTTTCAAATAATAATGTTCTCCTGAAACAGAATCATTTAAAACAAAGAAAAAGAATGATATTAAAATTAACACCAATTAAATATCAAGATTTATTATGCACAGATCTGTATTCAACCACTATGGAAGAGCCATTTGGCTCCCCATGATCTATTGCACTATGCAGAGAGATTCATTCACAGCAAAAATGCTTCCTCTAGGAAGGAGCTCAGTAAGCCAAAAGTCTGTAATGTCCCACCAAAGCCAAGCATTTTAGGAGTTATTTGTAATCCTTCCTGGAATGTTCCCATGATTAGAAATCTGAGATATCCAAAAGGATTTCTGCACATCAGTAACTCATACTGCCTGGCATACAATTTGAATATGAAACATTAATCCTACGGGGAGGGGGGGCGGGGAGAGAAGAGAGGGAGAGAAGTTATATGATGAAAGTTTAGATAAGAAATATGTTTATCTACATTTTAAAATGAATACAATTGAAATGGGAAACTTTTTCTGGGAATTAAACCAGAGCCTTATGAATGCTATGCTAACTCCCTATGCCTGAGCTACATCCCAGCCTTAAACTCTTGCTATCTCTATTCTTACTGACCAATCTGTTAAAAATCAGAGTTCTGTTCGAAGCTAAACAGGCCAACTGAAGATACTCAGAGTCCGGTAACTAGTTCATGTCAGAACTTAGGCAATTTTAAAATGAAGATAATTTTTCATAACCTCTAACACTACATATTCTACGCTCAACACATTTGGAAGACAAGATAATATTCTCCATGTTGTTGGCTGATATCCCCATGGAACTGCATACCAAACTGGAATTCACTTCATAACACGCAACTTTCTATTTTAACAAGACTTACATTTTCTTCTGGAAACAAGTTTATAAGCCTGTTCCTGAGCCAATGGAGGAGGCAACGATTCTCCAATTTTCTATTATAATACCTTCTTGCATTGTTATTTCTATAAATAATAAAGTTATACTCCACTTCCACAAAATGTGAACAAACACTAGTAAGCCTTGAGAGTTAACCAAGGTTGAGACATACAACAGGCCCTCGGTTGATGGAGAGAGCAGTACAGACTGTCTAGATCTGCAGTGGTTTGTTACCGTTTTGGGGAGGCAGTACACACTCATCACGCACCCCACTCTAAACCGGACCTCTGCCTGATCCCTGGACTAGTGACATATGATGGAACAACTCTCTGATGAGCTGGGCAGCTGTACAGCCATTGCTCCCAGTCAGCCACAGTTTCCCAAGCAATATGCTACTGTGCGCTGTGTGGCTAAGCAAGGACGCCCAAAGGTTAGGTTCACTAAATGCATCTTCCTCTTTCTGAATGCTGGAGTTGGCCCCAGGGCCTCGTATGCGCTAGTAAGCATTCTATCACCGAGCCACATCCTCCTTGCCATGAACGCATTTTTTCACTTATCACTTTAAACTTAAGATGGATTTAGCAGGGCTAAATCATTGAGGATCATTCATACTTAAGAAAGCTAAGTTTGGATAAAATGTAGGCCTATAAAAATCAAAGAGATACAACAGGATAAAGATGCAAAGCCAAAAGTCTAGAGTTGAAAGTACTAGAAGAAATGATTGAATGACAAAGAAGAGAAGGCCAAGGAAAAAGCATTAAAAATTAGCACCACACAGGAAAAGACTGGGGTGATTAAGAGGAGTCTTCATGAATATAGTGGTCTTATAGGCAGCCTAGCCAACACAACTGAAGCTAGAGAAAATTCAAAGGAAAACTGGGCATGGTGACACACAACGACAACCAGACAGACAGCTTGTCATGAGTTCAAGGGGAGCCTGGGCTACATAGCAAAAGCCACAACATGAGACCCTGTCTCAAAACCACCTTTTAAAAAAGATGACATCAAGAGGAAAACATTGAGAAGGTATGACCAATACAATCCTATCTCAAAGTAAATGTTTCGAGAATTTAAAGTATACTACAAAGAATCATTTTTTTTTTTCCTGAACCACACCAAAATAGTGCTTCATCACTACCAATTAGTTAATGTGTTTCCAACAAAGAAAACATTCTTCAAAACCACATTTAGAAAATCAGTACTGATTGATCACTGCCACTTGGTCTTCAGATATCAGCATTTCACTAACTATCCCAAAAATGAAAAGAGCCCACTTCAAAATCCAGTGTAACATCTGTGTCTCTTTTGTCTCCACCTGGGCCCTTCCTTAGTTTTTGCTTCACTTTCCTAGTCTTAATCTTTCCAAGTTCCAAGTGAGTTTTTAATTACGTGCATGTGCATGTCTGAGGGTAAATATGTCCATATGAGTATGGTGCCTATGGAGGCCAGAGGTGCTGGATCCCCCTGGAGCTGGAATTCCAAGCAGCTGTGAGCCTCCTGAGTGGGTAATGAACCAAACTTGGGTCCTCAGGAAGAGTAGTACTCATTTTTAACTGCTAAACCATCTCTGCAACCCTACAAAAGTGGTTTTTTTAACTCTCTTTTTATTTTATTCTTTGTGTCTTTCACATCATGCATCTCCATCCCATTTGTTTCCCCATCTCTTCATATCTGCCTTTGCAACCTCCCCCGAAACCCAAATAAAATAAAATAAAATTTAAGAGGAAAAAAAGAATAAAAAAGGAAATAGGGGGAAAAAAAGGAAAAATCTCGTTATGGAAGCTGTAGTATGACACAGTGAGTCATGGATAATTTAAAGTATACTACAAAGAATCAAGGATAAGCCCTTTTATCCATACATCTTTACTTGCAAATGTTTATTACAAAGACTCATTAGTCTGAGGCCTCTGGTTTCTGCTACACTATCAATGACGGGCCTTCACTGGAACTTCTCTTGGATACTCTGTTGTTGCCCCATGTCCTGGAGATTCTGCAGCTTTGGATCTGCAGGACTGGCCCCTTTACATGCTCCAGCAGATCACAGATGTGGTAGATGTTAGGATGG